ATAAAAGTGATTTGAGTAATGATTTATTTCATTGTTGTCTTTGTTCTTAAATTAGTTGACGTATATGACTGTGGTCTGGTCCATTTATCTCACAATAAGTCTAAATATTGTTACAGGTCGTATTATATTGACTCAAGGTTTTGGTTTGTCTCTTTCCCACTTTTGCAATGAAAAAGATTATCGTACCAAGATGGAATGTTAAATGGTCCAAGCCGCAGTAACAGAGTATTTTCACATCAGGGGGAAAAGTCATTAATACCATTTGTTTTGCACTTCTCCTCTGAGCTGCTGCAGTCCTGCATCAGGAAGCTACTGTGCATCTCCAAAGAGAGAAAAGGGACTTTCCATCTGGCCACCAGCGCAAAACTTAGATTTAGGCTGAAATTCAACATCTGTTACTCCTTTGGAGTCTGGCCAAAAGAAAGATAGGATAATAAGAACTGGTATTCTTATTTCATTTCAATTTTCAAACGTTATAGAACTTCCTGCAGCTGTTGAACTGTAAGTTAATTGAAACCCCCACTGGTGTCTGCCTCAGTGGCACTGTTACACACCAGGCGGTGTGTGTGTGTGTGTGTGTGTGGGAAGCATGGACCCATCTGTTGCCAAATGGATAATGATTGTGAGAATGTAAACAAAAGCTGAGGTTTAGTGGCGCTCCATTCCCAATCTATTTTGAGTGGTTTTTATTTCTATCAATGAACGCCTCTTGCAAAAAATTGACCACAAATAAATGGTGGTCACAGGTATTTCACAGTCAAAGAGAGTGGGAGATGGAACAAAAGGACTCCGCTCTTTTTTGATCTACTCAACAGGGAAGTTGCTTCCTCGGCACATGAACGAGATGAAAGCGAGGCCTGCATGCTCCCCAGAGGGTTGATCGTATTAGGTCACAGTGTGTGGATTCAAAGAAACAGCAGTGAGAACATTGCTGTCTAACTCTCCTGATAAATGTTAAGTCGCGTTGATGCCTCCGAGGTTCCCATAAGCTCTGATTGCAGGACACGCATGCACACACGATGTACGCGCATCTGCACACACAAACCCACACACATTCTTTTTAAATTCCCACTCATATAATCAATCTTCATGAAAATAACTGAGCTTAACTCAACTGTTTATATTAGAAGTAACGTTCTCATCAGAGGAGCCCGAAATGTCGACTGTTTGATGCCGGAGCTTCGTCACGAGGAGCAAAATCTCAGCCTGTGCGACGGGTCCCATGTTACAGAAATGATAAAGGTTCCGTTTATTCCTTCGGTTCAAGAATGCCTTTGTTCAACTAAAACCTTTCCATTAATCGGCCTCAGCTTTTTTTGACGGTGGAAGCGGCTTCAAAATAAATTCCTGGGAAATTTAATGGTGGTTGTATTTGCACAGAGAACAATGTAATGAGACCTCCAAACAGATGTTTCAAACATAAAAGCACAAATGAGTTGAGCTCCGAGCCACACAGAGGAGTATATCACTTTCTTATCTGTCTGTCTACTAATGTGGCAGTGGGTCAAGAACCATACTGGACATTTATTCACTTGAAAGTGCTGTTAATCTGGATTACTTGTTTTTTTCAAGAATTAAGAACTTCTGTTTGCCACGTGGGCGTAAATCTAACATGAGGTAGACCTTCCAGAGATACGGCTGTATGATGTATGTAGTGCATCAGATATGCAGCACGTGTAATGAAGCTCATTCCGTCTCTTTCTTTAAAAATACCGCAAACACATTTTGAAAAATGCTCCAGACAATTTTCATTTACCAATATGAAGAAAGTCCGACTTTTTTTGCTTCACTTTTATAGGAACTGACAGACTTCTTCGGGAGAACTGAACAGACGGTCATTATCTGTCTCAAACATCTCCATGACTCATTGAGGACGCAGGCCTCTTTGTTGGGTGGGGATTAAAGGTTTGAACCCCAAAAACATTCACCTTCATGTGAGGAGACGTGTTCGGAGGTTTCCATTACAAACATAGAAGTGGGTTTGGAACAAGGCACATAAGTTGTTATCGTACAGATGATGTCGCTTTTCAAGCAGTTTAGAAAAGATGCATCACGACTGTGTGTCTGTGTTGTCTGTGTATCTCTTTTTGATGAAATAAATCACGTTTATTTGAACAGTTCATTTAGAATGAGCATTCATCTGTTTATTGCCATAAAAAAAGAACAAAACGACTCCTGACTGATTTGGGTTTGCGTGATCAATATACTGTATAGAAAGAGATACCAGATGTATGTAACAAGGAAGCCCTTAGTAGCTATTTAAATATGGCCTTTAAATCAGGAAAATACGTTCATTTAGAGATGCCAAACATTGAATAGGATCCCCGAGCATAATGGGGGGGTTGATTCATCACTCATTGTCTTTTCCTATCATCAATATCATCCCAAATGTTTTATTTCTCCATTTGCTCCAGAAGGAAGGGGGTAAAGTGTAGTTTGCCCTCATTGAGTCTGGAATAACAAACAGCATATACCGTGTAGATATGGGTTTTTGGTGGTATGTATTTGAGGTTGAGGTTGCATAACCGCTGTGTGCTCAGGACGGATTTCCACGATTATAAAGCGGCATGTCGTGTTTACTGAAGCCCTTATTTGTTATCAGCCTCGAGGCCAGAGGAGAACATTGAAATGTACACACAAACTTACATAATGAATGTATCAGCCTCTGAGGAGGTCCTGGTAATTGTCATAACTTCATCCATAAAGTTAATAGATATTAAAAGGCCTGTTTGACGTGACCTCTGTAGGACATCTAGAGCGGATTTGTTCTAGAACAAATAGACCCCTTGGGGTGAGGTGGCGGTTTCGGCTGGTGAGTCTCAGAGATCTTTTCTTTTAGACTTTCTTTCCATGACTCTTTTTCCAGGTGCTTCTTCTTGATGTCATTCAGAAGCACGGAGTATTTCATCAGGGAGCACACAAACCGACCCTCCGCCTGTCATATTCTACTGTAATGCACAAGCTCTCGATGACACATACCAGAGCGAACAGGGGAAGCGTGCAATGCCGTTTGTTACGAGTGGACATCAGATAACACATGCCGGTGACATTTCACAATATATAGGCGCTTGTGGGACCTGAAGTCCTTTTTGGTAGCAGAGCACAGATTTCTGTGGGAGATTGAGTGATAATGAAGAACAATACTCAGTCTGCCTTTGCATTTGAGGTTAAGAGAGATCTGAGGAGGCTAAATGAAATGGACTTCGTTCATAAAAAGGTGTAACAAAGATGTCTGGATATTCATGAAGATCTCTTTTAACAAGCCTTGCAAAACAAACACAATGAAAGAAGAAACTCGTCCACAAGATTCTCTCTCCCCCCGAGGTATAAAAAAAGAAAGCTGCCAAGTCTGAGGATCTCTTACAGACCCGTAACCCCGTGAGCAAAGAGGAAACATCACGGAAATGATTCAGACCGACTGCTCCGGCTACCGAAGACACAACACGCATTCCCATGATTCCCGGCCCCAGACCCACCGTCCGCAGAGGATGAACCGTCTTCATGTCGGCGAACTGATGAGAACATCTGAGCCTGGAGCGTTAATAACTTGCACAGGACGTCTCCAGTGAACGTCTTCAAATAGGAGAGAGGAGGATATACGTGGTTCAGTGCAGCGTGAAGGGAGACATCCGTTCTGCTGTCCTTCAACCCCCCAGGACTAAATAAGCATGCACCAGAGTGGATAAAGTGGTGGAATCAGACATCTAACAGGGCCCCTGTGGAGGCTGGTTTGCTGGCCGACAGAAGCCCACGGCTTGAGAAACATCCCTGGCTGTGGTTGTGATGGGGAGATTAACAGGAACTGGGATAATTGAGAAACGTGATTATTCCACTAAGCCAGTGGGACGTTCTAAGTAAAGGGGCCCCAGTTTGCACTCCTCACTGCAAGGGCCATCGGAAATGAAGTAAATGAGAGGCGAGCTGGACATTGACTTCTATGTGAACGCAATAAGGATAACTATCCTCACTATCTGCGCTGGGATCAGATGAGCTTAGAAGCTGCCAGAAACCCACAGCCAGTTGGCAATCATGAGCCTTCGCAATGGAAACTGTAATAAGCGATCCAGACATTGTTATAGTTCTCTTGGAAACTGAGGTGGCCTCGGAGATGCTGAGGCAAAGCACTGGCTGATGGGGTACGCCACCGGGGAAAGGAGTCTCTGAGAAGCAGCCCACAAAGGTGTGTCGGTAATGTCCAATAAAAAGTATTAAAAACGTCCTTCACTCAAAGGTGTCCTGCTTATTGTTAATTCACTTGAAAGTAAGACAACACTGAGCAGGATGACGTATGGAGAATGTTCTTAGTCTGAGAATGAGCATGAATGATGAACTCTATGAGCTCTGTACATTTTGGGATGTGGAAAACAATTTGGAAGCCAGTGAAATACAGGTCCAATGCAATTTAGACAAATGTGTTACAAATTGGAAGCTCTCCTGAGTATTTATGGCCTCATGGAGATGATTACGGGTGAATTCATTCTAACAAGACAACATATTTACAGTAGCTCAGAGGAAAATGATCCACCTCTGGGATTTCTGCTTAGAACGAGCTTGGTGGACAGATAAAATGAACATGAACTAAATTCCCCTTTTTTAAAGGCACATGCAAAAAGACACAGAAAATACTATTTTTAAGTGTAAAAATGTATTGTAGCTTAAATAATTCCATTCGGTTTGTGATTCGACTTCCATCAAACCTGGTGATTCATTGAGAAAAGCACTCATGTTGAACAGTTTATAAAGACCTCGCTCAGCACAGTTTTCCACACTTCCACAGTTTTGGTAAATAATTCCAGTTGCAGTAAATAAAATAGAGCCACATTGGAAATGTGTAGTATTTTCTAAGCTCAATGCAGAAGCCATGTGGTGGCTTCACTGCACTGTAGTCACTGCACAACGATGGACTCAAAGCAAGAAAGTAAACGCTTCATTGCTGATATTAATACCATCGTTTATGTCGTGTAAAAGTATACATAATAATACGAATAATACAAACATGTCATTTTACTACTATAGTTGATTTAGAGCTCAATTTTAGTACAATTTCATGATAATGCGTCTGGAACTCCAATGGAAATGTCACGTCTTAGGGCTTCTATGAATGACCGTCGCAGCAAAGGTTGGTTTTCTTTTTGGGAGTGCATCCTCTTTACGCGCACATGAGACACACGCAGCAGCTCCGCGTCACAAAGCAGCGCGCTCCTCACCGTGAGCATCAGGTGGCCCCATATACGGACTGGGGAGGCACCTCGCAGCCCCCCTGGCACTGACTAGGCGCGCAGAGGGGGAAGTGGCACTCACGCTCCGGACTATGCGAAGGGAACCCGTCTCTGGTTTTCAGTCCCTCGGCTGAGCAAACGATGGAGGCGCCTGGAAACAACACCGTGCACGCCAACGGATCCGATCCGTACGCGCGGAACGAGGAGGTGGCTCAAATCGAGATCATGGTCCTGTGCATCACCTTCGTGGTCGCTGTGATCGGGAACGTGAGCGTCCTGCTGGCGATGTTTAACACCAAGAAGAAGATGTCGCGCATGCACCTCTTCATCAAACACCTCAGCCTGGCCGACCTGGTGGTCGCCTTCTTCCAGGTGCTGCCGCAGCTCTGCTGGAAGATCACCTTCCGCTTCTACGGTCCGGACTTTCTCTGCAGGATAGTCAAGCACCTCCAGGTGATGGGCATGTTCGCGTCCACCTACATGATGGTGATGATGACCCTCGACCGTTACATTGCCATCTGCCACCCGCTGAAGACGCTCCAGCAGCCCACGCAGCGCTCCTACATCATGATCACCTCCACGTGGATGGTCAGCCTGCTGTTGAGCTCTCCGCAGTTCTTCATCTTCTCCCTGAGCGAGATCAAGAACGGCTCGAACGTCTCCGACTGTTGGGCGCACTTCGTGGAGCCGTGGGGCGCCAAGGCGTACATCACCTGGATCACCGTGGGCATATTCCTCGTTCCCGTGGTCATTCTCATGTTGTGCTACGGGTTCATCTGCCACAGCATATGGAAAAATATCAAGTACAAGAAAACCAAATCGACGGCGGGCTCTGCGAACCGGAATGGGTTTATCGGGAAGAATTCGGTCAGCAGCATTACGACCATATCAAGAGCCAAGCTGAGGACCGTTAAAATGACCCTGGTGATCGTTTTGGCTTACATCGTTTGCTGGGCGCCGTTTTTCACGGTGCAGATGTGGTCTGTGTGGGATGACAACTTCCAGTGGGCTGGTAAGTGCCGAGGACACAGAACAAGTCAATCAAAACTCTTATAATAATAGTGTGATCAAGGGACCAAATATAGTTGCCAAGAAAAAGCACTTGGTCAAATGAGTACAGAGAAACAATCCCCGTGCGCAAACACGTGCACACAAACTTTACGCATGGATTTACTGAAAGCCGGAACCACAATAGAGTAAAAAGGACATTTTTAGATGGGTCTGCTGTTTACAAGCCGCTGTATTTCCATGAGTGCATCACTGTTTAGAATGAATACTTTCGTGCAGAAACGGTCTTATTAAAAGTGAATAAGGAGAAAAGGAGTTCCCTGGTTTCCTTTCCTTGGTTTCACCTCTTTAAACCAAGCCATTGGGAATCGCGTGGTAATTACTCTTGCAAACTTTGATTCAAAAAGTCTTTCAATTAATTCAATTTCCATGCATGCATTTGGTGGATGTTCTCTGTGTTGAAGGGAAAAAAATGGGTTTGGATTTCCAAACCAGATGAACTGTTCTGGCATTTGTGCACCAGATGTTCTGTATATTAATCATCCTTTCATGCCTCTCTGTTCTCTAGATTCTGAGAACACCGCGGTGACTCTTTCTGCGCTCCTCGCCAGTCTCAACAGCTGCTGCAACCCGTGGATATACATGATCTTCAGCGGCCACCTCCTCCAGGATTTTGTGCACTGCTTCTCCTGCTGCTCCAAAATGACCACCGACTTCAAGAAGGAGGACTCGGACAGCAGCGTCCGCAGAACGACACTGCTGACTAAGATGACCAATCGGAGCCCGACGGGCAGTAGCAACTGGAGGGAGCTGGACAATTCTCCCAAGTCCTCCATTCAGGCAGAGTTAACGTGCAATTAGGGGAGGGGGAGACCTGTCTGAGTGACATCACGGTACCCACACAGCATCCACCCATCTCAAATACAGGCTGACTGAGACTGAAATGCCTCCCAAACCCCCAAACTGTAAAGCAACTTTTCCTTTGCAGTCAAGAGAAAGATACTGAGATATGGTGTTAGAGACAGAGAAAAGGACACGTTGAGGCTTATTGATTCTGTGTGCAAACATGTTCTTGTTTTTCTCAACTTCAGCAGAAAATATAAGAAAAACAAGTTTTTATTATATTGCAAATCTTTGCATCTGATTCGTGGAGTCTGTACCACAGGTGTTCATGGAAGCACAGTGCGACAAGCTATTCATTTTTCTTTATTATATTGAATTTGATTGTAATACTTGAAAACAGGACGAGTCCCAACCTTATTTCCTTTTTTCCTGGTGGTTGTGTCTCAGCGGCCGGGAGGTGAATGGTCGTCTCTAAGTAACCGAGGCTGCCCGCTCATCCTCCGAGTGGGGCTGACCCATCACAAAAAAAAAAAAAGATATTGAGTGTGTGGTGTTAGGCGTAATCAGTTTGTTGCATGCATCTACATGTTCCACATGAATGTTGCAGCTGGTAGTCCTTTGTGTTGGTCCCTACAGGATTGCAAATACTTCTTTTCTGCTGAGGCAAACGGGATTCATTTTTAAAAAAGACATACGTTCACACACACACAGGAAGTGGGATGGTGGGGGGGTTATGAAGTGAGGAACCTAACACACCCCCAAGGCCCCTCCAACAGCTTTCAAAAAATGTGAAGAGAAGCTCACACATTCCACACTCTCCACATCAACACACTGCTACTTTCTCGTTATTGTTTTTCTCCTCGTTTCCTTCCTCATTTCGGGGTGTGGTCTGTTTTTTGCCTCCAGACAAAAACATCTCCAATCCTGCACATGCGACGTGCAACAAAAGAAAGAAACGGTTGTCAAACCACCTCAAGAACATGCATGTTATGATGTATCACGACATTTCTATCTGCTGTAACGTGTATTTGTACATAAAAGGCACTTAAGTATCTGTAAATAGTAATAATGTAAATCCAATGTAATATAAATCTGTTCAACATGAATTATATTTGTCTGTATTCACTAATGAAAATAACTTCCATATCCTATATGTTGAAATACACATTGATGCACTGAATACCACACTGGCTTCCACTTGTATTTTGTCAATCAGCACCGTCTTGTTTTGTTTAGTCCTCATTCAGTTGCTACACAACCATTGCGATATCTGGTGTTGTTTTTGCTGAGAATTGAGCAATTTTGAATATCTGTAGCCAATCTAAGCACACACGACATTCCAAGCTGTGGGATTCTGCCATTATTGAGATATTTTAATGAAACTGATGGAGAGAAGAAGTCCTGTTATTGGATGGCTTTTACTGAACAATCTTTCCACCCCCACATCATTTATAGTACATGAACAGATAATGTAAAGCTTTTGAATTTAAATCGAACTGTATTGTGAGACAAAGAGCGACAGACATCTCACAACAAATCGCCATTGCTTCACACCACTTTAGTAAGAAAATATTTTCTATAATGGTGATCTGATGTCTCTGAGCGCGACATCATTTTATTTGATTACGTAATTATATTGTTGTCTAATTCAGTTATCACATAATTCTGTTTCCCTAATGGCCACTAAACCCTCCCGGCTCGCTTCATCCTTTATTATTCAGTTTATCTCTGACCATCCGACCTCATAACATGAGTTGTCGTATCATAGGACTTATAGCTAAGAGGGGTATCTGCCGGGAAATGATCTAACCCCTTTAAATAGGGTAGGAAAAGGTAAGACCTATTTAATTCATTTAAATTCCTAAACTATATAATTAATATGGAGTGATGTTAATATCTATATAACTATAGATATTAACATCACTCCGCTCCGCTTTATTTCCAAGTATTACTTTACTCATACATCTGCATTTAACCCGTCCTGCACAGTGGGAGCAGCGTGCTGCCGTGAAGGCACCCAGTGAGCAGGTAGGAGTTGGGTGTCTTGCTCAGAGGCACTTGGACATGGGACATGGAGCGGCCAGGGTTCAAACCGCCAACCCTGCGGTTCCCGGTGCAACCTCTACTCCACGCGCCACCGTCGCATGAGTGGCTGGACTGGCTACTCTCTCACACTGGATCTCCTTCCGCAGTCATAAACCCCCCCAAAAAGATATTGCTATGTATAGACTAATAGTGAGTCACTGGCCGTTCCTTCCTTTAATTACATCTCTCCTCCTGTCAATCCTCCAGCTCACACTCTGGTTTCCCCGACGTCTCCCCTGACCTCTCAGCCTCACTTCTGATTGGATTATTTTACCTTTAAACTACAACTTTTAAACGTGAAATCATTAAATACACCCTTTTAACAATATGAATTGCACCTTATACAATGATAACAAATAATAAATAAATAAAACAACCAAATTTCCCCAAAAGCTGAACAAAACACGCAATGAGGCAATCCCAGCTGATATCAACAGGGATTGTTGATACAATCAAACTCCACTTAAGGCGGCATGGCCCGAGTATTGCTCACCCTCTCTCAAATTCCCAGTCCAGCACTTGGCCCGCCTTCGATTAGACATGCCAATCATTACGTAGCCCTGTGAAAGGCTGGCCTTGCTCACACAAGCCGGGCTAAGGTTATCAGTCGCAGTCTAGACTGAGCAAATACCTTGAGAGGCAATTGGATTCCTGCAGAGTTTGACTCCAAGCCCGATGTAACCGAAAAAACGTTCATGAAACCAGCAGCTTTGATGCTCTGTGTACCAGTACAAAACCGAATTCCATATTTTTGTCCATTACTATGTCGCTGTAATTCATCAGCTTTGAAAAAAAATACCTGAAAATCTTTCGGGCTCTTGTTGAACGTGTAGTGAGCTTCTAGTGAGATGAAGGCAGGAAGAAACAAGTGAATTGCATCCCTGTGTGTGTGTTTGCTTTATTAATACCTCGGGGAAGAAGGCACCCAATGAAGGAGCAGAACATGTGAGCTCATTGTTCCCACTTACACACCTGTGAAGAATCACTCCATCATCTTCACTCAGCAGGCTCTCAGGAGTCAAACACCACGTCAGCAAACCCAAACACCTTCCAATTGGTTTGGCTCAAAGGATCTCTGAGCCGCAGAGTTGGATGCAAGAGGGCTTCATGGCGGCCTCTCCACACTAGAAAAACGCACCCAATGCCAAAGATCCATGCTTCCTTTCTCAGTGAGTAAACCGCGTCCGCCAAGTTTCCCTCACAGGAAAAGAAGTCCTGTTTTTTGTCTAGCTGGACAATCCTGTCCACCGCCTGCTTCCCTCTACCCGACGCGCTGCACTTTCTCTGACCCAACACAACAAACACTCTCTTTGGCAGGACAGCGTGAACCAAACAGGCCAAAAAAGTGTGAACAAAGTCACTATTCGGACAAAAACTGGAAATTCATTCGCATTTGAGTTATGCTGATCAATGAGACGGTGTGAGACCATCTGCTGGTTATTAGCGGGTGAGACGTGTTGATGTCTTCGATGCAGGACATTCTTTCAGTAATCTGATCAGATGAGACGATGTTCTCTGCCTCCTTTACATGAAACCTCCTTCTTCCTGCTTCATTGTTCTTCTTCCACCGCCCTTGAGAGTAACACCTCTGTTTACTGCTGTGTTGTTTGGGGGGGGGGGGGGGTGAGAATGACCCATTTGAGGGGGAGGAATTCTGTTCACAATGTCGGCCCCTGGGAGGAAAGTGATTACAAGTATCTACCTCGAGGTTTACTGAACAAAAAATCGGTTTTCTTTGGTGAAATGCGTTATCAAAACCGAATGTTCTTGTTCTTCTGTGCTCCGTCAGCATATTTCCTATACTGAATTCATTGCTTCCCGGCAGAAAAGGGTATTATTCCTGGAATTTGTAGATGAAGTCCTCCGAAGGGAGGGCCCAGGAATTTGAAGACAAATAAGTATTATGATTGTAATGTGGCTGACAGGTTGGTAAGGGCATCCAGCGTACTGTTCTTCTTCTCTAATCTATCACAGAAGGATTTATCAATCAAATCAATAAATATGTTCAATACTTTAAAAATAAATAAATAATGTAAAATGTCACGCCAAAAATTGATTCAATATACATGCATACTCTACCTATGGAACACAAGTACACAGACATATCTGGAACCACTGCAGAAATCAGTAAACTTGTTGTGTAAAACTAAATTAAGAGGATTTAAATGTCCACCTGTCCAATAGTTAACATGCTAATGTGGACACTGAATGTTTCTTTCAAAATGCATTTCCTGCTGAAATAAATATATATATATATATATATATATATATATATATATATGAGAGTACGTTTTAGGGGTCAGGTGTGGAATCTGACAAGTCCCTCAAAATGTCCATTGCACAGATGATTTAAATGCCAGGGTCAGGACACATCTGAGTGCTAAAGTGTTTAAGGTACCGCGGTGAACTTCTCACACCAATAAGCGAAAGGACCATGACCTCCTGGTGGGGCATTAGGTGCCGGTGGCAAACACTTTGGGATTGTTTGTTTGACTCGTGTCTTTTCACTGTTACTAGTGGACTTTACTTTATCTAAGAGTTGCATGCTCACATGCAATAAAGTAGAAAGGCAAACGATGCAATACATGTTCAAATGTGGGGATCACAGGACACGCCCACTTCTGAACTGCCCTTCCTCCAAAGTTCATAGTGATGACGTGATGAAAGCATTCATGCAGAGAATGAAATGCTACGGAGAGAATGTTGAATACTTTCTCAACCTGCAGAAGATCACCAGAGGCCAGTTAAATTGACTTTTCATGAATTGAGCTCCCTGGCTCTGCATTAAAGCTACACAAAGGGAGCGTTCTCAAAGAGGCCAGAAGGTCACACAGAGACCTTATTAATCCAACGTGTCCTTTGAAGAAGAAGATCATAGACCTGCTCTGTGTACATCAAACCAGAAGGCCGAGCCGGGTGAGGTGAGATCAGAAGCCGCTGGACATCTTCTCTCCTCCTTCATCCAGCCGTGTGTCATTAGACCTGTGTATACAGAACACACACACACACACTAACGCCATTATTCCAAACATTCCTTCTGTAGAGAGGATCCATGTCTATATTTAAGACGTCAAGCTTTATTATTTGAAATATACTGCAACCACTGAAATGGGCTTTCGCAGTGAGAGTTGTTGCCTGGAAACCGATAGCAGGTTAAGTCCGCTCGGTGGGCAATGATTCATTAAATGTCACGTTTCAATGCACAATCACAGCTCAGGGGGCTCTATAATCAAACATGTCCAATTATAGAGGCCTTATTCGTGAACGGCGATGTCAGCGGTCTAGAGGGATGACTTATCGATATTAATGCCTTCCTGGCCGGTTTGTGCTGCGCGTTTCCAGCCTCTGACAAGAGGATCTAATCAGGACTTCTCATCTGTAGGTTTGTATGAGCCAGTGAACAGGATGAATGAGCTGAATGTCAACACCAAAGCCACAGAGTGTTCTCTCCCACGAGAGCATTACTGTTAAAGGGCCAAACAAGTTGAAAATGAGCAACAGGACTGACCAGATCTACGTCCGTATGCTTCCTAACCGGACAGCGCTGAAATAATGGCGGAATAACTGCCGGCCTAAAAGTAGCATTTCATCCATCCTTATTACACGGCGTACTCGCTACTCCAACACGGCATTCTACGCAGTGTTGTCTCGGTACGGCGGGCGCTGCTATGAATAACAAACCGTTGCCATGGACGCAGATCTGATCTTGTTATACAACAGGACCGCTTTACTTTTTAAGCAGAACCGACACACTTTTCTTTTTTTAAATCAATAAAATACTTGATGAATCAATGTTATTGTGTCAAATTAATCATCTCTAGGGGGTTGCCTCTTTCCATGATTGCAAAATGGACCTTTCAAAGTGTTTCTGCTCACCATTTCGCAATAGCATGCGAACATAACATGAGGCCTCTGCCTCTGATGTTCCTTTGCACTGGGACTAAGCAAACCCCACTAAGAAAATGTACATGGACACTCGTCTTCTGGGGGATCTACTTAATGCTAAGGTCTGAAAATTACAGCACTTGAGATTTAATCTATTTAATGGAGCAGTTTAATCTTCAACTCCTCAGCGTCCTCAGCTTGTACGTTTTTGCAGCTCAGACACAAAACATGTCGCTAAAGGAGATTATTTTGTTGTCTTTCTTAGTGGAATTAGTATCAATTATCGTAGTGGTGCAAAGTTGGAGAGGCTCATTGAAAGTCAAGAGGTTCGGACGTTTTCAGTTCCATTATATATGGTAAGAAATGTTGCACTTCTCCATTTAAAGCAAACACAAGGCCTTCACTGCTCTGCGTGAATGGACCTCTTGTTGTGTCCTTATGATGATGATGACGTGGTCCAAACAGGCTTATAGACACCAAAAGGATCAAAGGGGAACAGGCACTAAAATGATGACAAAGAAAAGAAAAGAATACTTTTTTTTTTAAAAAGGTTGCAGATATTTTTGGTCGTAATTTACTTTTCTTTAGTAATAAATAACACTATTACACATGATTAGCGAAGTGCTAAAATCAACAACACGCACAACACGGACACACTGGCAGACACTAAAATGAGGTGCCAGGTGCTGAGTAAGGGAGGCCGTAACAGCGACTAATGGTCAAAGCATCGGATCACCTCCATCCTGACCCTCGATCACACGCATTAACAGTTCAGCTCCAGCAGCACAGCCTTGTGGGGGCGTGTGACCGGGAGAGTGTGTTAGATACATTGACAGCACATGTATACAACACATACACGCATGCATATACATACCAAAACATGAGAGGTTCTTTGAAAAAAAAAGTTTCTCTGGGAGGATTCTCAGCACGCTGACGACATCTGCTGGTAACACATGAATCCAACCAGCTGATTCATTCAAATCTCCACCAGCGTGAAGTTCATAGAATGGAATCGTGCCATGCGATGTGCAACATCTACAATCTCTGTTTGCATTTAGCTACATCACCAAAGGCATGAGAATATACACCACTTTATTCATGGGACCTCCAGTGTTTGTGCACAGAGGGAAATACTTCAGCTCCAGGAGTCGATTGGCCATCGGCGGCTCAGAGCTTTCAAAGCACGCGAATGACGACGTGGAGGGAAGCTAAAGAAGAACACTTTACATAGCAACTGACCAATGGATACGGGTTCAAGACATCAGTGATTCATTAAGCAAGTACGATACCACTATACATGTTTTACGACCTGATACTTCTCCACTGCATTGAATATTTGACACATGTTTGCGGTGCTGACACGGTCTCACACGGATAAACGAACAGCCCCGACCTTTGTGAGGTCACACCAGATTATCCTGTGGTACAAATGAGTGGGCAGTCAATCTGTGAGTCACTTATCAGCTGGACGATTAGACACACACACACAGGCATTGTTAAAGCCTCTCCAAGGTCGCAGTGATATTTTTGGGATGTTTTTCAGCATTAGGTATTCATTCTGTGATTTGTTTCTCAAAGGAAATGTGACTATTGAGCGAAGTATGCTTTTTAGTTTCTTATCCTCATTATAACCTCTCAGCAGGATCAGGCTTTCTGTTCAACAAAAGTACACTACGAGGCCAAAAGTTGACAGCAAACAGAGTGAGATGGAAGCGAGCAAGCACCGGCATACTGACTTGTTGTGTAATTAGGTCAGTAGATCTCTATGCTGCAAACTCATGAATACTTGATTGGATGTCGTCTGCCAATACGGCAAAAGCACTTTCATCAAGGTTCATGCATTTTCAGGAGAGACATTGGGTATAATGAGTGAGCTCAGGGTTTTAAAGGACGTGTAAACTTAGAAAAATAAGCTATAATGTAATTGCGTTGGCGAATATGAATTAGGGAGTATCTTTTTTCTATTAGCTTCAGAGAGTCGGGTGCTGTTCACCGTCAGAAACAACCAAATTCAGCCCTTTGCAAATGCACCTGTGAATGTGTCACCTGCTAAACATATTGTCCGTTTATCACATATTACCTATTGGAACATTTAACTTCAGAACATGAAATGATGAATGAAATGTAAACGTGAAAAACAATCAATTGGACAATGTGGGTCATAAGTTGCTGGATGAACTGAGCATTTTGTGAAGTAGGGCGTATAGAATTAAGAGCTGGCCAGTTGGGGGTCAGCCAGCTAATCTTAATCTGGCCACACTTCACTTGAGACATGAAACAAACGATGTTAACGTAAACGGAAAACTGTTAAAAGTCACGATGAATAAAAGGTTTTAAAATAAAGAAGGTTTAAATAAATCTCATAAGCGATATCAACCAGTTCTGCTTGTGATTATGATGCTAATTATTTGAACACTGACCAGATGTCGGGCTACTGCTCATCTAACTCTATTGCTGGAACTGCTCTGCATGGTTGTTGTTGGAGCCGACTGTCCAAACAGCTACATTTTCTAACTAAAGAGCTTTGAATCAGGTCCCAGATGAGCAGTGCCAATTTGTGCCAGTACTTCCAGCATTAAAACTAGAGCATTTTTCGTTATTATCGCGATTTCAAAACGCCTCCTTTCAACACTGCCGCTCCGTGAATAGACAGAAGCATGTGAGTCAGATCTGTGGCTTCTCTGCAGTGTTGTATAACAGATCATTTACTGCATTTTCTTATTTCCCCAAAAAGCAGCTCCGAGTGTGAGTTCATGGCGTCTAGACACGCATCCCGGTGGGTTGATCTGATCCAAACCGACTCACGGGCCAGAAAAAAAGGAAAAGAAGAGTTTGAAACAAAGAGAACACCAAAGGAACGACAGAGTGACATCAGTCAAATGGGGCCAGATGCGTCCTGGTCGAGGTAAATCCACCGTCACAGTCAGTACATTAAATAGGAAGCCACAAGCAGTAGTCTGTTGTTGCTTTGTATGACCTGGAGGAGGGTGGGCGATGGCAGTGGGGTGAGTTTGCAGAGAGACACGAGGTCAGTTGACAAGAGTTGAAGGGAATGTGACAGAGCTTGGCTGAAACGTGACCACCAGTCGTTAAATTGAATTAAAACTCAGCAGGGCCGATGAACTGATGAGAGACAGGTAACGAGACTGGAAGGGCACCAGTCAATCCATGATGGAGGGCTGGAAGCCAGCAGACAGCGAGGTGAGGGAGGGAGACAGAGGGAGATTATCTCGTCTCTCAGTCAGAGTGCAGTTACAGCTCCGGACAGATGCAAGACGGAGAGCAACGGACGGATTATTGGAGAAATACGGAATTTGAAATGTTGATTAGCTGAATACACTGCGCGATATGGAAGTAAATAGTAACTGTCAAGGATTTAGACAAATGTAGGATTAGTATTTGGGTATTTGGGTTAGAAAAGACCGTGGTTAACTTTTACTACCAGTCAAATGAGGAAAATGCCCCTCTGGGACGTCCACATGAAGAACACAACCTTTTAGTAAAACTCGATTTCTCACTTTTAAGTACCCATCCACCAAAAAACCGGGAATTCTCTTAGTTCCAAAGGGAGTGCACCATTAAAAGAGATGCATTAAAAAATAAGTATAGCCAATAAAAAATACAATAGAACAGTCTGTAAACAATAAACGGTCTTACCCCAAAAGAGAGACCAGGTCGGCCTCAAAGAGGGGAGGCAACTTAAGCAGTGGCATTAAGAGATGCGAATGCTGCAATACATTTTTAAAAAAATCAATAAAACGAGATTATTACAATTACAATCATTGAAAAAAATCATTTTAAAAAGTCCATCAGTCTAGAGGACAGCTCAGTACGTCGTAGCTGCTCACTGTATTCAAGTAAGTAAAAGTAAAAGTAAAAGGACAGCAGAAAACAGGAACGATTATCTTAAGAAAGTCATGCACCGTAAAACACGCTAAACATTGTGTTTTTGTGTGCTCGAGGCCTAACGGTGATCCATGCTTATTATATATATATATATATATATATATATATAATAATACAGCAGTATTAAGTGTAAATCCCAAATAATTCCATTTAATTGCTGCTTTGACAGAGAGGCCTAACAGGGGTTCAGACCTCTTGGAGGCCTTTTTCTTGGCAGCCCCCCCCCGGGCTGTAAATCAGTGTCAAACTCATTTCAGGTTTGGGGGGCGGTACGGCCTTCGAGGCTCGGGACACGGCATTGAAAATCCGGACTCTGGTCACCCAGCACCCGCTGAGGGGGCGGGTTCTAAGACAGCACCCATAGGCGCTGCACCTTTACCGGGGGAAGCTAATCGTCCGTCCGGGATTAGGCACCTTTAACCCGCAGCGCTGTCAACACTAAACCGCTCGCTGAGACGCCGGAGCCACCAGCCCGTCACGTGACCAGCGTGCAGCGGCTCTCGCGCCTATTTCCGCGTTTAACCGAGGGGGGGGGGGGCACGCGCAGGGGCTGAATGAGCCGCTCTGCGTCGTCGCCGGGGATCAATCGGGGGAGAGAAGTGGGGTGGGGGGAGACTCTCCTCACGCAGTCGCATCGCCCGGACGACGCCGCAGCAGGAACATGCTCACGCGGGTGAAATCGGCGGTGAGTAATTTTATGGGAGGGATGATGGCCGGCGGCTCCAACGGGGAGCAACCCGGCGGCGGCGGCTCGGATCTGCCGCTGAAGTATCCGTACGGCAGAGCGGAGTTCCTGGGACTGTCGCCGGACGAGGTGGAGTGCTCGGCGGATCACATCGCCAGACCGATCCTCATCCCGAAGGAGACCAAGCGGCTGCCGTGGTCCACCGGCTACGCGGAGTGAGTTGACCTGCATGCGTCCATCTTCGTCTTTGCTCGCGAACAGCATCCTTTCCTTTTTGTGGAAAGTGCGTGAGCGCGCCCCCCCCTCCTCCCCGGACCCTCGTCTCTGCTTAAAAGCCAGATGCTTTTGTTGTTGTTGTTGTTGTTGTTGTTGTTGCTGCTATGACCGGATACATACGAAGCTGAAATAAGCCAAGGTGAAGAATCCGGCCTCTCCGGGATGAACATCACGTTTTCCTGGAGGACGTGAACACACCTCCGCCAAACAGACACGGGCCCTATAATCTATAGAGGAGACTTTTATTTGTGTAGAAATGATGCAGAATGACTGTTTGTCATGTCATTATGTCAAAAGAAACACAATGATCAATCTATCTAGATTTTATTTTGAACACCAATAAACTTTGGAGCGTGTATGTTTGCATGTTTGAGGCTGGTCAGGAAAGCTCTCACTAATTTCCCACCTCCGCTTCCTCTGCTGCATGCTGCAAAGGTGGTAGAACTTCTCCGGCTAATGTAGCTTCTGGTTTCGGGTCATTTTTGCTTTTAATTGGAAGCTAAAAGTCCTCCTTAATACCTGAGACCAGAATCACACCAGGACCCGAGATCATCTGTTCAATATTGATATAATGAACAGAACAGATGAGACGAGGGAGATGATGTTTCAAAGGCGATGTGCAAGTGATGGTCATCATTTTTAATCTCAAGACCGAGGAAAGGAAACCTCAACCTCCTCTGTGGTAAAGTAGGTTGCATAATTGAAATTAAAGCAATAATCCCCTTCTTTAAAAATAATAATAATAATAATAATAATAATAGCATATGAATTAATAATGATTGTTAGTTTATGATTAAAACCGATGCCTGATTATTGAGGGATCTGTTTCTGATCTAAGCCCCCCATACTTAAACCACTCACTGATATTTCTCCCTGTAAAGGAGGATAAATGAAGTCAACGTGACCACACAGCTGTGGAGAGGAATGAGCACCACTTTTCTTCTTCTATTGACAATGCCCCCCCCCCCCCCCCCCCTGTTGAATCACATGATGCAGCACGTGTTGTTGTGTTGTTTCTGCTCAACAGGCAGAAACAACATAATGCTGCTTCAGTTCAGTGCTCTGCTTGACCTCCAGCTTCATTATGAGCTTAAGTTTGAAGACGATGGGATCATTGTTGTCCTTCTTGTACTTGACCGATCTGCAATAAGAAGGGTTGCAAAACATTAAGGTGGCTAATATAGGTATATAATAGCTATACAGTATATAAGAGTGTTGAATCATGTTAACGGACCTGTTGCCTTTTTAATGTTGCTGAATAGGGAAATACTCCCAAAAAGAAGGCTAATGGTATTTCACGGCACTGACCCAGTAATTGAGGTCATGCCGTTTGCTCAAACGGGAGGAAGTGAAATGAAGTAACCAAATCCGACAGCGCCGGTCTCGGACCCGGGCCTCGGGCAGCACAGATGAACTTTGCTGCCTTTTAATCGTGTGACCGTCCAGAGGTCAGGTGACCGCGCCCCCCCGCTGTGCATGACGCTGTCTGAGCTTCGTGGCCTCTATTTGTCATATGAAGTTAAGGGAAAGAGTTGAAGACATTAACTACACATCACGTACTTTCCAGAGCGTAGCTTCATTTTATAAACTGGTTCAACGACTAAACCGTGGCTTAAACTTGCCTCTCATTCACCATGTAGCCAAACAACGTGTCATTTACTGGATGAAACTGTGCGTGGTTAGTGATGTTGTCCCCGCGTGCCCTTTTTGCCCGTTTAACGTCTTGAGCTCCGGTTTAACGCGCGTGCAGCTTATTGTGGCTAAAAGCAGCATGTCTGCTCGTCCACGACTGACGCAGCAGCAACAAACCATCTGGCCGGTGTTGCGTAATGCAGCATTTCTGTATCGTTGTGTCTTGTCACCTACATGCGTGGGTCTCCGATTGCAATGTGTATTCAGAGTGTGTACTTGCTGACACACTCTTCAAACAAGCTGCACAGGAATTGAGTTTACAAAGGGTTCAGTCCTGAAAAGGGTTAAAGGTCACCGCATGGAGACCTCTAAGGAGGACGAGTCACCTTTTACCACTAACATTTAGTAAATTAGTTATAATGATCAATGAAACAAGTGTTTGATGGAAGGGCTTGACATGACACGACTGGATGACAGCGGATGTGTTGGGAAAAGATCCCTTAATATTCTTCTCTGCTTAAACGAATTAGTCGGCCCAGTATGTTCGGCTGATGTTCCATGATAGATTTTCAGTATTTGTCTCTTGTATTTGCTCGGCTCGGTCATATGCTCGAGGCATTGTCTTCATCTCGGGTGTCCTGTTGAAGTAACCTGACGCTTGATTTCCCTGTTTTTGTGTCCCTTTGTCCCCTTTACATGCAGGGTGATCAATGCGGGGAAAAGCACCTTGAATGAGGACCAGGCCTGCTGCGAGGTGCTGCTGGTCAACAGGAGACCCGCAGGAAGCTCCGCGCACAACCAAACCGCTACGGCCCGCAGGAGGTCGTCCCTGCCCAACGGGGAGGGCTCGGGCCAGCGGGACGGCCCGGTGAGTCAAACACACGCACCCATCCTCCACGCTACCCGCATTAATAATACCACCACGCACACGACCTCTTGCTGACCGCAGTCCACGCACGCTCACATCACACTTCAGACAACGTCAGATGTCCTGAGAAGTGCACAAAATCAAAACCTAAGATATTACTAATAGTGATGTTATTCCTTAAATTATGTACATTTCAAAGTCAAATAATCCCTTTTTTTTTTTTTTTTAAATAACAAAAATGTATATTTCCTTTCCAAACTGCTAAATCCTGAGCCACAGACCAGACTTATTTATTCATGCAGTCCTCGAACGCCCCCGGGCTCCTGCTGCTGGGACACTGTCCCCTCGTCCTGTCCCATCAGCGGCCCGCCGCTCCGTGTCCTTCACACGTCGCAGCGGATGAGAGTCACCCAGCGGTCCCTCGGCGAGGACAGTGTGTTGTGTACAATGAAGTAAAACTGCCGCTGAAATGTCTCCTCAGCCCAGCGGTACTTCACTCAGACCCAGCAAGAGCCTCCAGCCTCATGCAAGTACCACAGGACTCACTGCTGCAGCGGCGCTAGACGGACCCGAGTGACGTAGAGCTTCGCTGCGCCCCTCTGCTTGCTTTAGAAGCTGCTGTAGCGCGTGTGCAGGAATACTCCACCCAGTGAGCAGAACAGACACTCCTGCGTCTTTCCCTTCACATGATTGTTTTTGCACGATGAAACTGGATTGAGTGCTGAGTTGGATGTAACACTCCGTAGAGGAACAAAGATGAGACTACTGCGCTTTGTAACACAAACCCGAGGCGTCGACCCCATTACGCATCCTCGCGTGTCGCATACTAAGTGTTGTGTGTTGCTCCCTTACCTTTTTAGAGTGCTTACGAAACTAAAACTAGCCAGTGTCTGTATGATCATTTAAATCTTGTATTGTATACGAAAGCTTATTGTTGTCTTAAATCTTACTTTGGAAGTTTACAGGAGCTAGGATATTCACCAATATCTTATATTGGTGAATATATATATATATATATCTTGGGATATACCAATCTTGATATTGGTGAATCCCTACAGGTAAGAAACCAGTCAACTTGGGCTGATGATGATGAAACACACTAATAGACACTGGATGCAGCTGTTGTTGCAAGCATCCATTTAGAGATCCTTATAACATCTGGAAATATCTGATTGGCTCACATCTGCTTCTTGTTGGTTAAAGAAGACACCGTCCTTATTAACAGGGAAGCATGTAGCCAGTGATCGTTTGTGTCTCCGTGTGACAATGAGGAAATGATCCAACTTCATTTGGATCATTTGCGCAGTTGATGGTTTTCTTCTAATATAAATGGAAATCGAAATAAATGGATTTCAGTCCCGGTTTGGTTGAGAAGTGACAAGGCAATGTGCCATCGTCTGATGTGCGTTTGTCCCCCGTCTGTCTCCAGGACGGCTCTGAGAATCTAACCTTCCACTACTGGGCGCTGTTCGATGGCCACGCTGGCTCCGGGGCGGCCGTGGTGGCTGCCCGCCTTCTGCATCACCACATCGCCATGCACCTTCAGGAGGTTATGGAGGTCATCTGCAGTCCGGACCTGCCGCCCCCGACCTGCCTCGGGGAGGAGCCCATCAACCAGCACCTCACGCCGACATCCCAGCGCGCCCTCACCAGGGCCGCGTCCCTGCGCGGCGCCGCGGGGGCTCCTGGCTCCCCCGGCGCCGCGCCCACACGCTTCTTCACGGAGAAGAAGGTTTCACACGAGAGCCTGGTGGTCGGAGCCATCGAGAACGCTTTCAAAGACATGGTAAGAGGCTGACCGCCTGCACAGAACAATGGTTGCTGCTGCTTTAGGCGGTCTTGTCTTCACAAGCCGAGATCCAAATGTCTGTGAAAGACCAAGTGCCAATTCCTCTCCACCCACACGGAAACACAACGTGGGAATAACTGCAGCTTTTACCTTTTGTAAAGTGGGGTACAGTGAAGTGACACTACAAACCGAATGTAGATTTCGAGTATCAATGAAGCAAGATTGAAAATCGGGATCATTGCGATTTCCCCTCGTAGGCTCTCGACACGTCAAAGAAGCTGCCATCTTTAGCTTCTCCCTCCAATTGAAATGATCATTTTATCTGGACCTGTTTTCCATATTTTCGAGTAATCCACTGATTATTGTCTGGTAAGCTTTTGCCAAAGAAACCTCTGTTTTGATGGCTACATGTATGTTCCATGAGAGACGGAATGGAGTCTCTGGTGTGCCGCTGCGGTCACCTGCTCTTAGAAACGGGTGAAACCTGACGGACTGGATTGTCCTCCAGTAACGCGTGACCAAGGTCAACCCTGCAGGTCCTTTGAATCACGTTTCCACGTGTCGACCACTAGGTGGCAGTGTGCATTTCCCTATTCCTGCCTGACTGCACAACCATAAAGGGAATACAGAGTGTTTGGGCAGTAATGGCCTGTCTAGGTGTAATCAATGATTGGATAGGTATCAGTACAATCATTTAGCAGTCTATTGTGAATCAACGGTTAGTGATGATGGGATTTTGAGTAATTAGGATTACTTCCAAATACAAAAAATACACTTGCACCATTTTGGTATTTCACATAAAATGGCATGTCCGTAATGTGCAGAATGTTTTCAGCATGATTTAGTATAAATTGCTATGTTACTGCCAGAAGGATCTCATCGGCCCACGACTGCTACCTATCAGCAAACATCTGATGTCCCCCCCGTCCACTCGGGCCTCTGTCTTTGCACTCGTTCCACTCGCCGCCCCCTTTTTTCCTTAAAGGGGAATTTCATCGAAATCCAGCGTTCTAAACGCTGCCGCCCCGACGTACCTCGGGTTCCTCGTGGTGGTCTCTGCTGTTCTTGTTTGTGCCCCTTCCATGTGGCAGGAGGCTGAGACCTCATCAACCGAGCCGGTCCCCCGCTGACTGACTCTGACGTCCCACCGCTCACTCGTCACTTTCTGTTCGCTGGTGCACTTTTTTTCATTTTTAAATATTTTTGATATTTGATATTTTATTCCTTTATTTTAAACTAACCCATAGCATTGTATTTTTCTTTCCTCGTGCGCTGTTGTCTTGTGGTCCATCGTCGTACTGTCTGCTGTTACGCACAAGTCACATTCCTTGTATGTCTGACATATTGTGGCAATAAATGTTGCCTGATTCCTTCAGAGAGCTCCGACTTCCAGTTGGTTTCTCTGGCTAAGAGGAAGCGAGCCTGCAGGCGGAGACCAGTGCGTACTTTCCTCCACCGCTGTCATTTGGCTTCATGTCCCTAATTATTTCTGTAATAATTGCAGATTAGTTCACATGGTACACATCTCCACTTTTGCTGAGTAACTACCCTAAATTCAATTTTGGCAGCCCCCCCCCCCCCCTAAAAGTCCCCTTTTTTAATGAAGCTCATTCTTGAAGTGTCAAGAGGATCCCGGCAGGGTTTGTTGTCCCTCTGAATCTTTGTCTGAGTTCAGAGTCTCTGCATCTGATCCGCTGGTTAAAAGGTGAAAGCTACTTTGTAAGTAAAAGGATCTTTTTGCCTTTTCAGAGGGTTAACAAGCTGCTCAGAGATGTAAAGACACCGCGTGTATTTCTGTCGGCCATGAGCCTCGTTGTCCTGGACAGAATGGGATTCTTTAGCAATCAGTGGAAATGCTGATTTACTTCATTACTGTCAGCAGTTTCTCTGCCTTTTGGCTTTAATACTCAAATCGCTCCCAGAAAACCAAATCCTATTTAAACTGGTCAGGCACCAACCACCAACTGACGTTTCATATCCGAGTAGATTTCAGTTAAAACTACAGTCTTTCCTGGTGTAATGGATGAAGGACAGGGGGGGGGGGGGCGCCGCCAGAGGCGCCATGCATTCTTGGGGGATTTCTTCCAGCTTCTGTTTCACCGTTAGGGGCCACTGAGAGGATGAGAGGGTTTAAACCACACGTGAGCAGCTCAGTTCAACATGTTGCTCAATCTGCCGACAGGTTGATTAGTGGTTTAATAATTGGTGGTTTAATTAATCCCGTCGCATCGGCCGTTTTCAAATCTTTTTCTTTTTGGCCTCCGCAGCAAATTAGTCGGGTCTAATTAAACGGCGTAACGAACTTTCTCTCCGTCCCGCTTCATTACTCCTTGACTTCCGAAGCTATTGATGGATGAATTCGTTCCGGTGCTATAATTAATAATCGCATCACGTCGGGTTTGAAGGGGTTTTACACAGGATGGTTTTTGAAGGCTGTGATGATGGTTGGAGTTTGTGCGTTTGTATTTAGGACGTGCAGATCGAGAAGGACAAGGCGGTCTACACCGTGTCGGGCGGCTGCACGGCTCTGGCGGCCGTCTTTTTGCTCGGGAAGCTGTACGTGGGGAACGCCGGAGACAGCCGGTGAGACGCCCACTCGGAGGAACAAGAAGCCTTCCGACGGTTCCAGCAGGCCGATGGTTTTTACGTTTGGTCCTCTCCTTTCCAGAGCCATCATCATCCGGGCCGGTGAAGTCCTCCCCATGTCAGCCGAGTTCACGCCGGAGTCTGAGAGACAGCGACTGCAGTTCCTGGTGAGACGGCGGTCAGGTGTTCGCCGAGCCCACCTCTCCTCCTCTTTTACAGCTTAATAGTGTGGAGTTGTTTTTCCCAACCCCCCCTTCCTCCCTCGGCTGTGTCAATCTTCTTCTTCCCTTATCTAAAGGCCTACATGCAGCCCCACTTATTGGGGAACGAGTTTACACATCTGGAATTCCCGAGGAGGATCCAGAGAAAGGAGGTTGGGAAGAGGATGCTGTACCGGGACTTCACCATGTCAGGATGGTGAGTGTCCCCCCCCCCAACGTCAAATGCAACGCACACGTGGCCGGGAGGATGCGTCACTGAAACCCGTCCAATGACGTCACCCCCCCAGACGTATCAGGCCTGGGATGTGAAAGCGTTGCGGCCCCACAGTACGACTGTCCTCGCTGTTTGTGGACTTCGTGTCCCCCGAGCGGGACCATTGATGCGTGTCCCTCGCTCTCTGTCACACACAGGATGGACGGGTTGTGGACAAATGTCTCCGGAGGGAGACAGACTCTCTTTAATGGAGACCTCCTTTCTTGAAGGTGGAATAAATGGCAGGTGTGTGCTCGTCAGTGACTCTCCAGATGCTCCGTCCAGGTTCTGGACATCAGAACCGTGTCCCATTAGTAGGGCGCTCTGAAGACTGCGGCCTGTTTGGGCTCTTCGCTCTGCACGCCCCCCCCCCGAGGGGGAAACATATGGTCTCTTAGTGGAATCCAAGTCCCTGCTAATCTGCTCCCCAGCAGCTGAAATGCATTGGATGGGGTGTGTGTGTGGTGGGGGGGGGGGGGGGGTCACACGGTGCTTCCAAATAACTCGCTGTGTTTATTTCAATCTCCTCAGACCAGATAGCTGCTGTTTCTTTATTTCTTTAACTTGAAAATCATCACAAATTGCACGTTTATTTCCTCTAGTGGGAAATGATCTAAATGTTGTTTGATCCAGCTGTGGAAGCCAGATGTTTGTAGTTTAAGGTCTGAATGGAAAACTTTGTGCTGGCAGCTCTTCTGTGAATGTTTCTGGTACTTTATAGAAACACAGCTGCTCCTCTGGAATAAAACGGAGCGCTGTGTTTCTTCACGTATGGAGGTGAAAGTGTGTCTTAATTTAGACCTGGCATGAATACCTACATTATTAAACAGTCTGGTCCCAACCTGAAGACTGTAAAGGATTCATCCGTTGGAGGCCTTTAAGCGGGGGGGGGGGGCTGTAACACACACACACACACACACACACACATGCACGGCCTTAGAAATCCAACAGAAACTGGTGTCATACATGCACAGACGTGTCTGTCTGTCTATGGAGACTTTTTACTGAATCTGTTTGAAGTGGAAAAGGCGATGCTAGAATGTCCTGCGGCTCCGGGTGGATTTTTTTTTTTTTTTCCCTCGTCAATCCCATTTTCCTTCCCAGCACACTTTTTCGCTGCGTGCCAATCGGAGCCCACGGGGGGAGGGAAGGGGGTTCGGTGGGGTCTGCGATCTGTCTCCAGGGCACGTGCACGCTTCAAAGTCCCCTTTCTTCTGTGTGCAGGGCCTACAAAACCATCGAGGACGACGACCTAAAGTTCCCTTTGATCTACGGCGAAGGAAAGAAGGTAAGCAGTGATGAAAGGAAAGGTCGCGACCTTTCCCACAGAAGGAAAGGGTTAATCTGCCTAAACGCTGCTGGAAGCCGCCTGGGTCGCTCCGTGTGGATGAAGGCAGTCGGCTCACAGAGGTTCACTTCTTCGTCGCTCTGGGACGAATTCATCCCTCTTGACACACACCTGTGTAATAAACTCCCCTAAGCTTTGCCTCCGTCCTGCAGGCGCGTGTGTTGGCGACCATCGGGGTCACCAGAGGTCTGGGGGACCACAATCTTAAAGTGCACGACTCCAATATCTACATTAAGCCCTTCTTGTCCTGCTGCCCAGAGGTAGGAATGAATGTTGTCCTCCATTGTGTCCTATTACTGACAGATCGGATGTCAAGACAAGCAAATTCTCCAAACATAAAATGTACAGACCTTCTAGACAAGATGCGTATTGCTATCAGAGAAGCTGGTGGGTGGACAAGTGATGGAAGAACACAGGACGACCTGAAGGGCAGTAGCAGTGTGCTAACAACGTGGTGGATCAAACCCATCACTCCGTTAGCTGCTGTCGCTTCGTGGTCAACGTGCACCAGCCGGCGCTCTTAAATGACGCCTTTCCTTCACGCCGCCCATCACACATGATCGCTGGAGTCAGTCGAAAATCAAATAAATTCTCTTGGTCTTTAGTTCAGCATCACTTTTTATGTCTTTTTGTTTTAAACATGACACATCATGGGAGGAACGATCAGCGGTCGCTGATCGACTGCTCTGTTCACGGTCCTTTCTTGATGGACCATTTGTTAAGAAATCCAGTCTGGGAACAGCAGTCGTTTGCTGGTTAAATCCACGACCTGGAGGCTCGTGATTCCCTGCTGGTCGCTCTTAGACGCGCGGGGAGCAGCTTGGGCCAGACAAGAGTTGCCATAGTAACCTCATCATTACAGAAAGATGCGTCATGACAGAACTTTTCCCGTTTCCCCCGTTTTTTTGTCTGAATCTGAATATTCCACATTTTTCATATTAACTACTTTTTCCCAAAAGATGAATCCCAGATAATAGTTGGTGACAGAGCACTGATTGATGTTGCCGTCTAATTTGAATTCTGTTAAAGTCCCGACTGAAACTATTTGTTGTTTTTTATTCTGTTTATTATTGGGTATTTATTATTCTGTTTGTGGGTGTGTGTGTGTGTGTGTGTGTGTGTGTGTGTGTTGTCTATATGTCTACATACGGGTACGTGAGTGTATGTGTATTGATAATGGATGGTGTATTTTTAATGTATATCTGAAAATCAATAAAAACGTTGATCACAAAACCACTACGTGAGCGTTTAATCTAACAAGGCGACGGGTCTTTGGGCTCTTGGGGATTTCAATCCGTCCAACAGTCTCCTGCACAACTCTGACCCCCATCATGTCCTGGTTCCACCCGTAGAGTCATTGCTGTAATCCGTCCTTCCCATTGTGCCGACCTCCAGGTCAAAGTTTACCCTTTGGCGCAGTGCGAGCACGGAGCCGATGACGTTCTGGTGCTGGGGACCGACGGCCTGTGGGACGTCCTCTCCAACCAGGAAGTGGCTGAAGCGATCACTTGTTTCCTGGCGAACTGCGACCCCGACGACCCGCACAGGCACGTCTGCTCATCTCACAGCTGCAGCCGGGGGGTCCGGGGGGGTCCGGGGGGCTGAACTTCCTCTCACCCTGGTCTTATTTGAAAGCGGATGAAACGTTGATCTCTTTTTATGCAAGAGAGCAACGCTTTTATGCATGTTTGTAAATTATGCAAATTTACAAACATTTAGATAAGCGAATGGCTCTAATGCTGAGGAAAAGCTCGTAAGACCGTAATGGAGGGGCTTTGAGTACCCCCCCCCCTCACCCCCCCACACACACACACACACACACACACTTTCTGCTAAATTAAATACGTTGCTAATCAGATTTGCCCATTTATCCCCATGCTGTGGCGACGCCCTGATGGTTCATCACTCTTGTTGTGGCAGGTACACAATGGCGGCCCAGGACCTGGTGATGAGGGCACGGGGGGTCCTGAAGGATCGGGGCTGGAGGATCTCCAACGACCGACTGGGCTCCGGGGACGACATCTCCGTCTACATCATTCCCCTGGTGTACGGCAACAAGCAGAACTAGCAGAGCTGCCCAAACCCAACCGCCACCGGAACGTCCCCCCCGCCCCCTTTTTTTTTTAAAGCGCTCTGGTGTGGATTCCTCCTACTGAGGGGTCCAAGATGTCAGAAATGCCGATTTTTCACTTTTTGAATGGTGAAAAAAAGCTGTTGCTGGGCGACGGCTCGACGGTCCAGATCGCAGTTACTAACTAACGTTTAGAAATGTGAAAATGTAAATACTCCAAAATAAGACCTTTGATAAGCGTGTTCCATGGAGCACCTGTACGGCGCAAAGGGAGAACACAAAGTGGTGTCCTGCATACGTCCTGTTCCATGTGCAGCTTTTCAACCAACGAGTCGTCTGCATAGATGATATTTTTGCTGATGCTGCGGACTTCTTGTTTCTTCAGTAGTCGATGACCTGTTGAATATGAAGGAACACACGGAGGACAAACGGAGCCACTCACCATCGCCGTCTACCTCATCTTTTAATTCCTTTGGTTGTCTCGCACAGAGACGTCAGCAGATCATTATTTGCTCCGGTAACTGTCGGTATATTGTGTGTATACATATTATGTCCAAAAAGCCTCTCTTCAGATACTCATGTTCACTTTTTCTCTGCAGCAGCTGGATATATTTTTCCTATTAAGTTATGCAGATAAAAGGCATCTAAAGTGAATCCACCTGATTTTGAGTTTGAACATCACATCAATGAATGTTTAGTTTTATTTTTCGCCTTCTGTTGCTGGAACAGAGGGACTTCATTCCGATGTAAATAATGTTTTCAGTGGATACTCCCCTCACGTCTTTTGCTGTCAGCGATGTACATCAAAGTACGGAATTTACTGTTTTGGAAGCCAAGGAACCGTTTAAATGTTCACCTTTCTGCTCTATTAAAATGTGATTACTCTGCTGTGTTATTGATTAAAAAGTTCACTCTCTCTAAACTGCTGCTTGTTAAACTGCTGCTTAGATTTATTTAAATCCTGAATAATCGGATTCCCAAAAGGAATGTTCTTCTTACATGAAATTCTTTAGGACGTGTGAGTGGAGGCGAGCTCAAGTTCCTGTAAGACCATCCACCGCAACACGACGAGGGGCCCGGAGGTCCCGCCGGGGGCTGCTGTGAGGGGCGGAATTGGACGCTGAAGGACGACCACTTGGGGAGTGCACGAGGTCCAACCGGCCTTCGCCTTCAGCGCCCCACTCAACAGATCAGCATCCCCCTTTTCAGTTCATCAATATTCTTGTTCTATTGACTTTTATTCATATTTTGCCTTTTTATTGAAATCGGTAAGCAAAGAGGATGGAACGTTACGCAGCCTTGAAATGCAGAGCAGGCGGGCAGGAAAGGATAATGGACCCCCCCCCCATCTCCCCCACCCATGTCTACAACAATTGTAATCAGGAAACATTTATTGCCAAAATATGTCAAACATACCAGGAATCTGTCTTGTTGGTTGGTGCGTGACAGCAGACAGTGTAACAATAGACAACAAGACAGCAGTGCACAAGTAATGAAATAAAGTAAAATTAAATGCTAATGCAATGTGTTAGTAGAATAAGGCTATGGGTTAGTATAAAACCAAAGAATAAAGTTCAAATTAAAAATATTTTAAAGTTTTTTAAAAAGTGGCGAGTGAAAAATGACAGTAAAGTGACGTGTGAAAGAAAGTGAGCGGTGGGATGTCGGAGTCACTCAGTGGGGGACCGGCTCTGTTGATGAGGTCTTAGTCCTGATGGACCTCAGCCTCCTGCCAGATGGAAGGGGCACAGACAGGTTTTGTCTGGGGTGAGAGGGGTCGGCCACCATCTCTAACGATCCCTTGTATGACTTTGTGGGAGTGTCACAGCAGGTCCTCAGCAGGAGCCGAAGGGGCCATCTGGTCCCCCACAGGTCGTCCTCCCCCAGTCAGACCAGCTCCCATCAGGCATCCCACTCCTCTCTACGTGTGTGTGTGTGTGTGTGTGTGTGTGTGTGTGTGTGTGTGCGCGCTCCAGATTGCATGACGGCAATGATGACAGTCATTCCTGTGGGCGGCGCGTTCTTCCAAGGTTACAGCCTCTTTCTCTAAATTTCCGAAATATGTGGGGGGGGTGGGGCAGAAAACCATTCTCTTCCAATCATTGTTTCAATACGCATTTCTATTGGTGAGACCAACAACGTCATAAACTGGGAGATGAAAAATACAGCTTCTAAAAGTTAAAATCCCAAACACTACAATGATCCAGTCGACAGTCCAGTCAGGATGAGGCTGCTTCAGCTGTGAGAACCATCTGAGCAGGCACGTTCCACAGGGAGGAGTCAAATGAACCGCTTTAGTGTTTGGGCCCTAAAGCGTGATTTATGTGCAGGCCGGCACAAGATGGATGAGGACAAGGTCTGCTGGTGAGCTGCTCACTGGCTCGTAAACCGGCTCGCTTTACACTTGCTATAATAAATTATTTGGGGGGGGGGTTACTTGATTTTCTTCATTTTTTACTCTTATTTATACAGTAGGAAGACCTGTAGTGCTACAATAAGCAGTAGTATCACGTGTGCGTAGTACTTTAGCGCTTCTGCTAAAGCAAAACACTGCTTTCGACCTCCGGTTATCACAGAAGTCAAACTCTTGTTTTAAATGGTTTTATATCAGCACAGATGCTTGTGGGCAGATTCAGAACTCATTCATTTATGGCCGTGTTCTCAGGAGGTCAAACGAAGGCGCCAGTCATCTGTCCATCATTCCAGCTGACCCCGCCCATCACCATCATGACCCCTAGCCATTTGATACAGAGCAACCAGATGCTGATGGGAGGAGGTCCCATGTGACCCACATCAGGGCTCTCGGACACCACTGCTAAAAGGCCTGGGGGGGTCATGTGGCAGCCCCTAACATACGCAACAAGCACATTTAGCATAATAATGGAATTATTATTTAAATGCGTCCGGGTGCAGGAGGAGGAAGCGCGATCCGCTCCGCTGGATCGGAGCCGCGTCCCTCGTCTCCTCGTTGACCTGCACGTTTCCGCCCACAAGCTGGTGGGAAAACCGGAGATGTCGACTTCCTCGTGCGTTTTAGAAGATGTGCATGCAAATGACACAAACGGGAGTGTCGGATATCCCGCAAATACATGCAAGCTTTTCAACTAACGGCACATTCTGTGAAAAATGGAAAAAAATGCAATATGGTACTAATTCAAATCAAACATGTCATTGTTAATTAAATCAAAACTGGACACAAAAAGGTTTTTTTTCCCTCCACAATCATTTATTTTATTGGATCAAACAAGTGACACAGGAGCGATTTCACTCGTCTGACGGCGGCGCGCGTTACCTGCTCGAACCGGACAACCGCGTCGGGAGCGCGGCCGCGTGTCCTCGCTTTAGTCCCGAAGCGGAGGCACCAGCACCGGCAAGGCAGTAGCTTGCGCAGTCATCTCCATAGCGGGCGGCGTCACGACCCAACAGCACAAACTACTACCTCAGCCAGTGCGTGGGCACGAGCCGGGTGATGGAGCCGAGCCGAGCCGAGCCGAGCCGGTCCGTCCTCCTCCGCGCCGCACCTCGTTCTGTGCAGCCTGCAAATAAGAAGGGAAACCCCGCCCGAGCAGACCTGGTCCCCCGCTCTCCCCCCTCCTCTTCCTCCCCCCGCATAACTTACTGGACAAAACCCGCCTGACCGTCGATGTTCAAACCAGTCGAACCCAACGATGGAACCGAACCAAACCAAAATAAACACTTTTCAGAATATGTGGTAATTATATATTAGCGGTTCATTAAATAACTCGGGACTTTATATGGTAACCACATTGTAAATGATCAAAATGCAGCAAACACTTAGAAAGAATGAAGTCTTCGCTGGGTTTATTAAAGGCCTTGACACAACAGGACAATATATGAATCCATTTGTTTTCATGAGTGTTTCTTTCACGCAGAACATTTATTCGTCACACGAGTTGCAAACCTGCCAATTCAGACCTGGCAGGCTGCACACTCCACACTTGGCAGGCTGCACACTCCACACTTGGCAGGCTGCACACTCCACACTTGGCAGGCTGCACACTCCACAAGGGGAAGTGTCCTGCTGTCAGACCGGGGCGACACACGCAGAGCGGCACGTGGACAAGTAGGCGGCGATTCCCACCGGCCCATTGTCGGCTTCGTCAGCAAAATTGCAATTTAAACTTACATCACCGACCGGCCACAGCAGTTGGAGAAACATTTGTTTTCTGCTGGAGCCGCTGCATGGATGCTCAGAAGGGGGGGGGGGGGGCGTTTTGTGGGACGCCGTCTGCATGGACGTTTCGCTCCTCACTTGGACAGCGGTGTCGTTAGAGACCTTACTCGAGATCACAGCGGAGGCCCAGGCGATTTGTTACTTTGTCTAATTTAGCCTCCAACGAGCCGCGTTCGCTCTCATCTTACTGGGAATTATGGATTTATCTGAGCAAAATGTGTGTTTTGTTTCAGAGCTGTGAGTTTAATAATTCTAAGATTCTAAAAAGGTCTACAGTTGTATTTAGGTAACAGTGTAAGAATATTTCCTTCAAGTTCATTTTGTTTCCTTGTCAGACGTTGTGAGATCGCCCCAATGCATCCTGGTACATGTTGGCCCATCCAGCGCGGCTCTGCAGAGGATCAAGTGCCCACCGGGTCTTTTGTGGACTCCATCGGACATCCACGTAACAAGGTGTCCCATGTCCCCCCCCTTCGCCACGCGTTGTAACAGAGCACACTGGGAGCACAGAGCTGATCATAGAATTGTCCCATTTATTTTATACAGACAAGTACATCCCTTCTCAGATGGCTGGCAAAAGATGACATGGAATGTTACAGCGAGATTTGTTTTCTTGCATAAAATGCTCACCGTTGAAAATGTTGCAAAAGTCTAAGTGTTCATTTTAAGATTAATAAAGCCCAGGATTTTTTTTTTTTGCCAATTACATCATCAACACTGTCACCACACACTGTACATCGACTCGGCCTCATCAAGAGAAAAACAAACTAAACCCAGAGGCAACACTGCAATTTTTAAAATCTCCACAGCGAACACAAGAGTGCAGTCAGTCAGTCAGTATGAGGGGGGGGGGGGGGATGCGTAATCAGCTCACATGAGAAGCATACGATGATGCGTATGGAGGCCGGTGGGGGGGGGCAGGCCCCTCAGAGCGCTGCTTCCCCCCACCGCACGTGAAGTTCATGTCCGTGCACACGGGGAGCACGTGGGGTTTCCCAAAAAAACAAATCACGAAGGTCCTCTCCTCAAAAACACAATATTTTGAAGGAGCCTGGTCAGGACTTCTCCGTTCTGGACCCTGGAGACAGGCGGCTGCATAAAGTCTTTAAAGGGCCCCAGGGCCTCCTTCAGGGCCGAGCTCACCTCGGACGAGGAGCACGTGATGCACTCCACCAGCGTGGGGTACAGGGCGATCACTTGGGCCCACGTGTTGCCATCCACTGCGGACGGGAGAGGGAGGAAGAGGACAGTGTGAATTGGGATAGAAAACTATCAGAGAAGTGATTGTCCTCAGAAAATGAGTGTTGCTCTGACGACGCAATACAAACCTCTTGAAAACTTCATTTAAGAAAGTCTCACTTCAGACTAAATCTACATATTTATTGTAATTGACCTTGATGGCAACGTAAAGCGTTCCACCCAGACTGCAGACTAAACTAATCTGGAAGTGGTCCCAACTGTACACACATTTATCTGAAATTAATAGATACTACATTGTGGCATTATTGTATTTAAAAAAGAATTAGTCCTCGACGCCGTTCGGTACTCACCATTTTCTGGCTGGGTCTTTTTAAGTGAGTCCATCAAAGTGCTGATAGCTTTCAGGACAAAGATTATCTCAGTCACTTGTTGCCTGAAACAGAAAAGACGGGGAGAAAAAAATATTTCAAAAGAGTTCTCCATGTTTTCAGTATCTGTACTCCACTGACGCGGTTCGATTCATTTCA